ATTCGTGACCTGTTACACTGAGATCCCAGTACCTCTCGCGTGCGACCGGTTCGGGCCGCATATATCTCAAGGTCGTTTCTAGGTTCGTCTCCGCGAATTAGTCCTTGGTACAACCTTAAGTTGTCCGTGAGAATTATCTTCTCGCATGAGTCGTCGATATGTTGTATACGCGTCCTGTATTTCACCAAGAGCTTACAAGCACCTTGTATTTCTTTAAAGGAAGCTAGGTTCGTCACTGTATGTGTGAGCGGTAGCGATTCCTCCAGAACACAATTACCGTTGTATCGGACGTGTAGCCCCGCGGCCGTGTCCGATGGTCGACGAATACGTCGATTCGTTTGGAATCCCAAGGCTCGTCCTTGGGGCATTCCCATTTCTCATCCAAGGCCCTGCGAAGGTCCCTGGCGACTTGAGTGGAATGCCCCACCTTCAGTAGGATTTGCCTGAGTTTCACTGCCGAATCTCGTTGCGAGGGAGTAAGGATTACTTTGTAGTATCCTAATTGGTGAGTCGCTCGAATGACTTGTTTTATGTCGTTACCCCGTAACGCCGAGCGAATAGCCTTCTCTTTGCCCTCTGGGATCATGACCTTGTTCTGTTCGAAACGATACCCTAACACGTCTAGGGAATTCGCTTTCGATGACTTGCTCAGGTTGATCTCGAACCCAAAGGCCCGAAGGTGATCGCTTATTCTTCTATAGCGTTCGTTGAGTTCGTCTTTCGAATTCGCACCGATGACAATGTCATCCTGGTACGACCTCACATTTACTTGGTCGTTCGTATCAAGACGACCTAGAACTAGGCTCATCACGTTTGCGAAGTGCTTTGGTGCCGTCTTCGCGCCCATAGGCATTTTTGCGTAACAGTAGCTATTCCCTGCCGGGTCTAGGAAGCTGTAGTACGGGCGCTGTTGGTGCGCAAGGGGTACCGCATGAAAGGCCTTCGAGAGATCTATCCTTGCAATAAATCTTTGCCCCATGGCCCATGCTATCACCGGCCCAATTGCCTGCGTGCTTGGGAACCTTCCGTCCTTGTTCGTATATGGGTATAGAATTTGGCAGTTATGCGTGACCCTGCTGCCTACCACATATGGATTCAATAAGGCTTTCACATAGCCCTTCTTTATATGTATGATCGACTTATCTTTCAGACGATCGCTGATCCATTGTACGGACATCTCTGTATCCGTTGGATTCAGCCTTGGAGGGACCATCTGATGGGGGGTTCTCCCTCCAATTCCTCGTTAAATGCTGGCAGCACCTGGGAGACTTGCTCTCCCGAGCCCCAAGATGGGCTCAATAACATTGGTTGTTTGATCTTTGTCGTTCTTCTTCAGGACGAAAGAAGTTGTGGCTTTC